TAAAACTTCATAAACCCTCATAAACCCTCATAAACCCTCATAAACCCTCATAAACCCTCATAAACCCTTATAAACCCTCTTCAAAAGCCCTCATACACCCTCATAGGCCCTATTCATAAACCCTCGTAAAGCTTCTTTAAAAACCCTCATAAACCCTCATAAACCCTCATAAACCCTAATGTAAACCCGCATAAACCCTAAACCTCAAACCCTTATTAGCAGCCCAAACCTGAGCCTCTCTCCACACCCACCACTTTCTAAGCCAAAGGCATACTTAGGGTTTAGGGTTTAGGGTTTAGGGTTTAGGGTCTGCATATAAAGGAATACACAGGGTAATGAAGCTTTCCTGCGTCTCCGTATGCACCATCGAGCCTCTGACTGGAGTTTAAGTTCAGGGTTTTAGGGTTTAGGGTTTTAGGGTTGGCGGTCCCGATGAGACTTTAGAATTTAGGGTTTAGGGTTTAGGGTTTAGGGTTTAGGGTTTAGGGTTTGGCGTTTCAGGTTGGAGACTTTGGTTTGACTCGTCCAGTGAGACAGCAGCAGCCTGCAGCTGAACAAGAGGGGGGCTCCCCTCTTGGGGGCCCCCCTCTTGGGGGCCCCCTTGCAGGGGGCCCCCCTCTTGGGGGGCCCCCTGGGGGCCCCCAACCCCCTTTGGGGGCCCCTATGTTTGGCCAGTTGTTGAATAATTCGCTGAGCAAAGGCGTGGGGACGGTGCACTATATGGCTCCTGAGCAAGCTAACAGCACCCAGTAAAACCCTAAACCCTAAACCCTAAACCCTAAACCCTAAACCCTAAGGTATAGAGAAGGGTTTGGTTGTGACGTAGGTATATTCACAGGTTTATTTGAGTATAGATGGTAGGTGTAAGGTTTAGGGTTTACGGGTATTGGAGCGAAAATGTTGAAACCCAAACAAGCTCAAGCGTTAAGGGTTTAGGGTTTAGGGTTTAGGGTTTAGGGTTTGGTGCATGCAGGTACGGGCAAAGCGCCGACATATTTTCTTTAGGGGTTTGTATATTTGAGCTCTGGGCTGTCCCCTTTCCTACAGCAATGGAGAGGTCTTTAGTATTAGGGGCCTTATCGCACCAAAGCAGCACTTGGCTGCTGCAGCAGCGGTTGCTGCTGCAGCAGCAGCTGCTGCTGCAGCAGCTGCAGCAGGAGGAGGAAGAAGACCAAGAGGAGGGTGCGCTGGAGGCAGAGCAGCAACAGCAGCAGCAGCAGGAAGAGGAGGGGCTCCTCGAACAAGACGAACAACAGCAGCAGAAGGAGCAGCAGCAGAAGCAGCAGCAGCTACATGAGCAGCAATTACTGCTGGAGGAGATGGATTTGTTGAAGCGGCAGCAGCGTCAGCAGCAGAAGCAGAAGAAAGCCCGTGACAAGCAGGAGCGTGCTGCAGGGCGTGCAAGAGCAGCAGCAGCAGCAGCAGCAGCAGCGGGAGCAGCAGCAGCAGCAGCAGCAGGAGAAGAAGAAGAGGCGTTCGATCTCCTAGGATTCTTATCTTGCTATGTCCCCAGAGTCGTTGCTTTGCTGCTAACCCCGCTGCTGCAGCACAACCCTAATAATAGGCCGGAAGCTCGAGATGTTTTAGCTGCCGACTTTTTTCTTTCGCCGCCTTCACGAGAATTAATATTACCTTTCTATGCAGCAGCGCTTAAAGGCCTGGCTAAACCCCAGCAAAGCATTAACCTCTTTAAAGACCCTGAAACCATCTCCCCCTTCACACCCGTAAACCCTAAACCCTAAACCCTAAACCCTAAACACTTTTCTTTAATCATACACCCTTAACACTATTCTTTTACCATTGTTTTAAACCCTAATCTTAAATCATAGTCTTAAACCCTAATCTTAAACCCTAATAAAAACCCTTATTAACCTTAGCAAACTTTAATAAACCCTCGACAAAGCTATTAAACACTTATAAAACCCTCATTAGCCCTAATAAACCCTGATAAACCCTATTGTTCCTACCAAGCCCTATTAAACCCTCATTAACCCTAATAAACCCTAATAAACCCTAATAAACCCTAATAAACCCTTAAAAAGCTCTCATAAACCCTACACGCCCCCACGCTGCTGCTGTATTTCAAGCACAAGTACAAAAATCCTAACAGTCAATGCCTACGGTCTAGGGTTTAGGGTTTAGGGTTTAGGGTTTAGGGTTTGTGGGTCAGGTGCTTCACCTGCTGCGCGAGTCTCCCTTTGGGCCAGAGGCTGTGCAGACAGTCGCCCATTTGCTGCGGCAGGCGGTGCCTCTTCAAAGGGTTATTGATTTTTATTCATTTGAGTCTTATAAACTCACCCTCGTAAACCCTAAACCCTAAACCCTAAACCCTAAAGACACCGAAGCAGTGGTAGCCCGCTCTCGCCTTTCTTTTTCTTCTCGCCAGCAACCCTCGCTGCGTCTGTTGCGTGTGTTGTTGCTGCTCTTGCTGCTGATGCTGCTACAACACCACCAGCAGCCGCAGCAGCAGCAACTGCAGCAGCAACAGCACCAGTAGCACCAGCAGCATAGCAGCAACAGCAGCAGCAGCAGCAGCAGCACAGCAGCAACAGCAGCAGCAGCAGCAGCAGCAGCATAGCAGCAACAGCAGCAGCAGCAGCAGCACTTGATGTTGTGCTTGTGTATGTTTCAGCCTGGGGGGCCTCAAGCAGTGCAGCTGCGGCAGTGTCTATTGGATTTGCTGCTGCAGCATGCGCAGCAGCTGCTGCAGCAGCGGGGGGCCCCCTTAAAGCAGTTTCCTGTGCTGCTGCCTTGTGGAGCTCAAGCCCCTAAACCCCTCGCTCACATGCAAAGCTGTTTAAAGCTGCAGCAGCAGCTGCTGCTGCTGCTTCTCAACCAACGCGCGTCTTCCCGAGGTCCCTAAACCCTAAACCCTAAACCCTAAACCCTTTTCCGTAGTTGTTCTCAGGCAATAGACTGTCTCTGCACAAGCGAGGGGGTTTAAGGTTTAGAGGTTTAGCACTTAAGCCTATAGGGTTTAGGGTTTAGGGTTTAGGGTTTAGGGTTTAGGGTTTGTGCAGGTGAAGACCGCAAGGAGACATCTACTGGAGGGACGTTACGTGGATATCCTCCGCCGCGTTTATCTGCTGCTGCTTCTGCTGCTCTTTGTCTGTCTGCTGGGGTTTTTAGACCCCTTGAAGTGCCGCTGCTGCGGCCTGCTGCAGCGCCTACTGGGCCTCCACAGACACGCAGCAGCAGCGCTAGCAGCAGCAGCAGCAGCAACAGCGCTAGCAGCAGCAACAGCAGCAGCAGCAAGGCGGGGAGGGAGCTGCAGCAGCTACCAGACCTCTTCATTCCTTATAACTGTCTTTCTCTTTATGCTGGAGTTGCAATCAGCGACCTTCATGCTGCTGCTGCTGGTGCTGCTGCTGACGTTGCAGCCAGTGCAGCAGAGACAGCAGCAGCAGCAGCAGCTGCTGCTGCTGCTGCGGAGATGCAGGCTGAATCCTGCGCAGCTGCTGCTGCTGCCGCTGCTGCACCGCCCCAAGAGTCCCTTGGGGCGCACCCACCTGAAGGTAGCAGCAGCAGCAGCAGGAACAGCAACAGCAACAGCAACAGCAGCAGCAGGAGCAACAGCAGCAGCAACAGCAGCAGCAGCAACAGCAACAAGCCCCAGGTTCCGCTAGATGTGCACTCTACGGAGGAAGCAGCGAGTGCAGCAGCAGCGAGTGCAGCTGCAGCTGCAGCAGCAAGCGCAGCAGCTGCAGCAACAGCAGAAACCGCAGCAGCAGCAGCAAACAGAGAAGCAGCACTTGGTTTGTGTCTACCTGGTGCGGTGTATAGGCTGCTGGGTGCTGCAGCGACTCCTATGCTGCTACCCTATGCAGTGCTTCCAGCAGCAGCAGCAGCAGCACAAGCAGCAGCAACAACAGCGCCCCCCAGCAGCAGATGCCCTGTGCAGAAGGCCTGCTACATAGGTTGCAGCTACCGCAGCAGCAGGAAGCAGCCGCTGCAGCAGCAACCTGAAGCATCCTTATCTTGCGTTTATTTGCTGCTGCTGCATATACCCTCATTGAGGGTGTGGGCCTCCTCGCTAGAGTTTTCATCAGGTGTATTGGCTGCTTATTTTGAGGCTGATGCTGCTGCTGCTGCAGCAGATATCTTAGCCCCTGCTGCTGCTGCTGCTGCTGCTGCAGCAAAAGAACCCCACGAACACTTCGCACTCATCTGGACATGCTCTGCATTCCTCCCTGTCATACTCGAATTCGCCTTTGACGTAAACCCTAAACCCTAAACCCTAAACCCTAAACCCTTCGTGGCTTTCACGTCTAGATCCAGGCCTCTCTCACTGTCTGTCTGCCCTTGACTATATCTTTTCTGCGCCTAGGGTTTAGGGTTTAGGGTTTAGGGTTTAGGGTTTAGGGTTTAGGGTTTAGGGTTTGGGGTGTGAGCAGGTGCCGCCTGAGTCGGTGCTGTCTCTGGATGGGTGGCTGCGAGCTGCTGCTGCTGGGGGGTTGCTGACAGAAGATTTGCTGCTGCAGCAGCTGCAAGCAATAGAAGCAACACGGTTGAGCGCCCCTTTGGAGGCCCCTTCAGAGGAGCTGCAGGAGCAGCAGGAGCAGGAGCAGGAGCAGCAGCAGCAGCAGCAGCAGCAGCAAACGGCGAAGAGGTTGGTGGATCTAGAACCGTCCCCTGAACTCAGAAGCAGATGCAGCAGACTCTGGAACCTGCTCACTCTCCCTTAGTAAGTGTCCTAGGGTTTAGGGTTTAGGGTTTAGGGTTTAGGGTTAGAGGTGCGTGCAGCAACACCCCATCTACGGGCTTTGTTTTTTCTCTGTGTAATTGCCTTCACGTTCACCATATAAGCCAAATAGGGTTTAGGGTTTAGGGTTTAGGGTTTGAGGTGTATGCTGCAGCGAAAATGCTGCGGAGTTCGTTTCGCATGCAAGGCTTTTGCTGCGACAGCAGGAAGTAGAAGAGCTGTCTATGGCTTCATCTGCTGCTGCTGCTGCTGCTGATGGTGATGGTGATGCTGCTGAAGAAGACTTGGGGGGGGTGCCGCTGCAGCAGTGCGTGGAGGAGCAGCTGCAACGGCTGCTGCTGCTGCAGCATTTGCTGCAGGAGATAGAGGGCTTCCAGCAGCAGCAGCAGCTGCACTTCGAGTTGCTGCTGCCGGTTGATCGCAGCAGCTACAACTCAGGCTTCTTTTTCTGTATTCTGGGGTCCACGCTGCAGCAGCAGCAGCAGCAGCAGCAATCCACCAAGCAGCAGCAGCAGCAGCAGCACAAGCAGCAACAGCTCCACAACAGACTGCACCAGCAATTGCACCAGCAGCAGCAGCAGCAGCAACAGCAGCAGCAGCAGCAAACGAAATTTAGAGAGGTTCTCGCTGTGGGTGGGAGGAGTGATGGGTTAATACGCCAAGCAGAAGATCATGATGGGCCAGCAGCAGCAGCAGCAGCAGCTGCTGCTGCTGCTGCTATTAGCGTAGAGGTCGACATCGACTGTCTCTGTTCGCGGCTGCTGCAAATCCAGCAGCAGCATCTTGACTCCCCTGCAGCAGCGGCAGCTGCTGCTGCTGCTGCTGCAGCGCTCACGCCAGTCTGGAGCGAATCCAGCAGCAGCAGCAGCGCCAGCAGCAGCAACAGCAGCAGCGCCAGCAGCAGCAAACGCGGCAGCGCCGACACAGCGAGCAGCAGCAGCAGCAGCAGTGCGAGTAGCAGCACTAGCAGCAGCAGCAGCAGCAGCCACTGCATGGGTAACAACAGCAGCAGCAGCAGCATCCAAGATGTTGCTGCTGGCTGGGCCCTGCCTCAAGTGCTGCTGTGCGTGCAGCAGCAGCAGCAGCAGCAGCAGCAGCAGCAACCGCTGCTGTTGCATGCAGCATTTCATTTGCGTGCGTTGCTGCTGAAGCACGGACTGAAGGTAAACCCTAAACCCTAAACCCTAGCAAACTCTAAACCCTCGTAAACCCTCGTTGCCCCTAAACCCTAGTAATAAACCCCTGTATACCCTCGTAACTGTAAACCCTAGAAAAAACCCACGTAAACCCTCGTAAACCCTAAACCCTAAACCCTAAACCCTAATTGTGTTTTCAGTGTGAGATCCGACAAATGCCTGTTGGAGAGGCTCGAAGGCTGCGGAAAACCCTAAAAAGATCGGGGGGTCCTCGCGGGTGTATGCGGGGCTTGCACTGGCTGGTGTCTCTTACAGCAGCAGCAACTCCTGCTGCTGCTGCTGCTGCTGCTGCTGCTGCAGCAACCGGAGCAGCAGCAAGTACAGCAGACGCCCAACAAGCCGTCTCCTTCCAAGTTGAAAATCTACACGTGGATCAGTGGACTCGGGTAACAAACCCTAAACCCTAAACCCTAAAACACAAACCCTAAACCCTAAACCACAAACCCTAAACCCTAAACCCTAGAGATGATTCCCCACCTCTTGGAGGTCCTTTCAGAAGAGCAAACGTTAGACCTTGTAAACCCCTCGGTTGAGGGTTTGAGGGCAGCTGGGTGTTCGGGTAAGGGTTTGACCGGGAGGCTGAGGGTTTAGGGTTTAGGGTTTAGGGTTTAGGCGATGTTCAGGAGTTCAGCCGCATAGAAGAAGTTCTCGTGTTTCTCCTTTCGAAGTCTTCAACTGTCTGAGGCGAGAAGGCAGGGCCCCCAAAGTGTGGGGTGTATATAAACCCTAAACCCTAAACCCTAAACCCTAATCCTTTCGCCAGACACCCTTGGCCCTAACCAGGCCGGGTAGTGCTTTTATCGAGCTTAGGGTTTAGGGGTTTTAGGTGGAGGCTTTCGAGGGTTTAGGGTTTGAGGTTTGGGGTTTAGGACCCAAACCACTCTCGCAAACCCTAAACCCTAAACCCTAAACCCTAAACCCTCATCACTTGCCTAAGCAAAAGTTTCTCTGAACGATCTCTACGGCCTCCTTTGCCTTCCACTTAATGCCAGTCAACTTCCCCAGCAAACGCAACGCAAAGCTGCACGCAAACCCTAAACCCTAAACCCTAAACCCTCATCTAGGCAGCACAAGAGAGTTGCTGCTGCTGCGGAGAAAGATGAAGACAAAGACAATCAGAGACAAATAAATATAAATATATATATATATATATATATTATGTATATAATATATATATAATATATATATAAACAAAGACAGATAAAGATGAAGACAGATAAAGACAAAGAGACAGAGAGATGATAAAGAGACACAAAAAAGTATGTGGGGTTTATTTATATAGGGTTTGCGGTTTCGAATACATCATAGGGTTTAGGGTTTAGGGTTTAGGGTTTAGGGTTTAGGGTTTACTTGAGGTCTTCTACTTTCTCTTCAAAGGCCTCCTCAATGCCTAAAAAGTGCTGCAGAGTTTCCGCCAACTGCTGCAGCAAAATGCGCTCGCTTTGCAAACAAAACAAAGCCTCTTCCCCGCTGCTGCTGCTGCTGCTGCTGCTGCTGCTGCTGTTGCTGCTGCCGTTGCTGCTGCTGCTGCTGCTGCTGCTGATGGAGTGAATAGAGAGCAGCAGCTGCTGCAGGTTAAGAGCTGAGAGACAAGAGATTGGCAGCACTCGCGGCTGGCTGTTTAATCCCTCATCGAAGCAAACATTAAAATTAAAAACAGAAGACAGCGCACAACTGGGCAGCAAATCATCTATACTATTATCCAGACGCTGCAGCAAATTGCCCGCTGCTGCTACTGCTGCTTCCTCCTGCTCCTGTTGCTGCTGCTGCTGCTGCTGCTGTTGCTGCTGCTGTTGTTGTTGCTGCTGCTGCTGCTGATTGTTCATATCACCAGTATGATGCTGACCTCCGCCCACACCCTTAGGAGTGTTGCTACGTTCCCAGCTGCTGTTGCTGCTGCTGCTGCTGTTGCTGCTGCTGCTGCTGTCTGGGTGCTGCTGCTTCGGAAGCAGCAGATCTGTTTTGTTTACTGCAATAAGGATGTGAGGTTTTTGTTGTGTGTCTCCTCTGCTGCTAAATATGTCTTTTAAGGTCCCCCCTAGCTGCTGCAGCTGCTGCTGCAGATGCTGCAGCTGGGCCTCTTGCTGCTGCTGCTGGGTCAGTTGCTGCTGCTGCTGCTCCTGCGCTGCCAAGAGCAGCAGCAGCACATCGCTCTCTCGTGCTGCTGCTACAGCGCGCCTCATGCCTTCTATCTCCACAGGACTCACCCTTTCAACAGCAGCATCAGCAGCAGCAGCATCAGCAGCAGCAGCAGCAGCAGCAGCAGGAGGCCTTAACCCCGCGCAGTCTGTGAGCTGCAGCTTGAAGAGGCCCTTGCCTCCTCTGCTGCAGCAAATAGAGCAGCATAATAAATCGCGAGTGGTGCCCGCCTCATCAGAGACAATTGCTGCTTCTCTTCCTACCAGCAAGTTGTATAAGCTGCTCTTCCCTGAAGCAAGCAAAACAACGAGGGTTTAGGGTTTAGGGTTTAGGGTTTAGGGTTAGTGGGGTGTGTACGATGCCAGGGTCTTCGCTGCAAGGGCCCATAAAAAGAAGATGAGGGTTTAAAAGTGCAATTATTCAGCCTTAGGCCTTTCTTGAGGGTTTAGGGTTTAGGGTTTAGGGTTTAGGGTTTAGCAGCACCTGCATTGGGGGCCCCTAGAAGGACGAGTTTGAGTCCGTCTTCGATTTGCGTTTGTGCGTTTAATTTATTGATTTCATTTTGTAGTTCCTGTAAGACAGCAGCAGCAGCAGGGTTAGCTGCTGCTGCTGCTGCAGCAGCAGCAGCAGCATCAGTCTGCTGCGGGTCGTCACTTATTGCAAGAGAAGCCTCAAGGGCCCCCAGGGCCCCCCCTAAAACTGTTCGCCACCTTCTTAGGGCCTCCTGACGTTGGGGGGCCCCCACTAGGCGTCTCACAGCGCTAGACAGCTGCTCAGAACCTCCCGCCTAAACGCAAACCCTAAACCCTAAACCCTAAACCCTAAACCCTAAACCCTCAACCCTAGGATTCGCAACAAGACGAAACACGTGGACTTAGAAGCAGACGCACCCCCAATGTGGAAACATATTAGAATTAAGGGTTTAGGGTTTAGGGCTTAGGGTTTAGGGTTTAGGGTTTAGGGTTTAGGGTTTACATTCAAGACAGCCCCAAGTGCATGCAGCTGATGCACATTCTTCTTCCCATTTAAAAACGAACGCAGAGCAAACTCTCCTGGCCTCGCTAAGCGAATAGAAGGGTTCAGGGGGGCCCCCTTGGGGGCCCCCCTAGCAGCAGCGGCGCTGCTGCAGCAGATGCAGGTTGCTGCTGCGGCCTTGCCTGTCGCCTGCAGCGGCTCCTGCTGCTGCTGTTGTTGCTGTTGCTGTTGCTGTTGCTGCTGCTGCTGTTTTTCTGCAACAAATCTGTTCAGAAGAAGACTAAAGAGCCGCTGCGAGCAGCAGCATTTCCTTTGTTGTTGCTGGTGCTGCTGTTGCTGCAGCAACATTAGTTGCTGCTGCTGCTGCTGTTGCTGCTGCTGCTGCTGACGCCAGCTAAACTCTAGGGGTAGTTTGCTGCTGTCTGTCTGCAGCAAGTGTCTGTATATATCCCCCAGGTGCCGCAACAGCAATTCTTCTTTTTTGTTTACAGAGCTGCCTATACACCGTAAACCCCCAGCAGCAGCAGCAGACAAAAGTTGTTGCTTCTCAAAGAAATCAAACAAAACAGATAAAGTACCTAAACCCCCATGCGAATGAATCTCAGCCACATCCTCTCCTGTACACACAAACCCTAAACCCTAAACCCTAAACCCTAAACCCTAAAACCGTAAAAACCCTACACCCTATTTTCCCGGCTCTCAAGGCCGCTCATGTTGCGGCCAAACCCCGTAAGCACCCTCTCTTCTTGTCGCATCCAGAGCTCAGGGTTTAGGGTTTAGGGTTTAGGGTTTAGGGTTTACCAGTGGCTGACTTGGGTCCCTTAAAGAAGAGGAGCAGCGCCTCATCCATTGCCTCTCCCTCATTAAATAGATTCCAAATAGGCGATATAAACACCCGCCCAGCAGCAGGAACAGCAGGCAGCAGCAAAGACTTGCAGCAGCAGCAGCTACTGCTGTTGCTGCTGCTGCTGCTGTTGGCGCTGCTGTTGCTGCTGCTGTTGCTGCTGCTGCTGCTGCTGCATGTAGGAGAGGGATGCACAGGGCAAGGATCGAGGTGGGCGCTACAGCGCTCACACTCTCTAATGTGCTGCAGCATCTGCTGCAACTGCTGCTGAGGCAACAGCAGCAGCTGCAGCACGAAAGCAGCAAGAGGGCCGCTGACCCTCCAAACAGCCACCGCAGAGGCACCCTGAGCTGCAGCAGCAGCAGCAGTAGGACAGTTGCTTCTGCTGCTCAACGCGTATATTGTAGAGCCGTCAGCAGCAGCAAACAGATCCTCGTACTGCTGCTCCTCTTGCTGCTCCTCCTCCTCCTCCTCTCCCTGGTGCTGCTGCTTCTGCTGCTGCAGGTGCAGTTGCCTCTGTTGACCCGGCGGGGCCTCTGCTGCTCGAGGCACCTCATCAGCCCGCGAAGCTGCTGCTGCTGCTGCTGCTGTTGCAGTTGCTACCCTTGCTGCTGCTCTTGCTGCTGCTGGGGATCGAAAAGAAGCCCGAGACAACTCGATCCCGATCCCACCGCATGGCCTTTGGAGCCGGTAAGAGAAGCACACAGGAAATTTGCTGCTGCTGCTGCTGCTGTCGCTGCAATTAGTGTTGCAGCTAGGGGGGAGATGAGGCGAGTAAGTGCTGCACAGGGCGGAAGGGAGGATCAAAGGCAGCAACAGCAGCAGCTGCTGCACATGACGCAACAAGATAGAGCTTAGCATGCTTGCTGCTACTGCTGCTGCTGCTCCTGCTCCTACCTCCTCCAGCTGCTGCTGCTGCAGCTGCTGCTGGAGGGAAGCCGGGCAGCCCTGTAGAGCATATTTACATTATCTGCTAATGAGGCCCCTTTAGAGGGATAGAAAAGTTAATATGAGTGCTGAGGCTATGCATATTGTGAAGATAAAACAAATGAAGGAAGCAGCAGCAAGTAGAGAGAGAGAAATGAAGTACAGTGCAGAGGGGCCCCTTGGGGGCCCTCTGCTGCCGATGATGATGATGGATCGTAGAGCTGCTGTCTGTTGTTGAGTCTTTGTTGTTTGTATTTTATTAAATTAAATATTATTAAATAATAGAGGGAGATTAAATTGCTATTATACTGCTCATTCTTTACGCAGATACACCCGAGGCTTCTACCCTGGGGCCCGACACCAAGTGTGAAGCGGACTGGCAGCACGAGAGGCTGCTGCTGAGGCCTCTAGAGAGGAAGAGGAGAGGCTAGCAGTCTGGTTTTTTTGTTTGTTTGCTAAAATGCATTCCTAGCAGTAAGAAGGAAGTTAAGCTGTTATTTTTTAATCGAAAATAACAGCAGAAGCAGAGAGAGAGAGTGGAAGAGAGCCGCCTCTTTATCAGGAAAGGCCGCACGAGGCGCCACCCACCGCTCGCTCTCCTTGCATTTATATTTCTTGTTTCTTTTCGTCTAATCCAAAGTGGTAGATTATTCTTTGAGTCTTTTCTTTGCTTTGCTGCTAGGAGGGAAGCAAATATACCTTCTGGTTCTGCCTCGGGGAGGCTGTCGACAGGGAGGCGCCCAGGCCCCACGACAAGGGTTTTCTTGTTCGGTGTTGGCGTTCCTTCTTTTGTTGTTGCGAGCTATTTATTTTTTATTTTTGTTTTAATTCGAGCATTTCCTCTTCATCTGCTTCTTATACACCGGAGGGACAGTCGATCCCCACCCTACTGCATGTGGCAATGGCTCCGCGTCTATCCGTTCTTTTCGTTGCTTTAGGGCTGCTGCTGCTGCCTCTGAGGGGGCCCCTAGAGGGGGATTCTTCTCTGTTTGTTGCAGCAGCAGACAGCAGCAATGGAGACGGCGGAGGGGGAGGGGCTTCTGGAGGATCAGGGTCAGGCTCGTCGGGATCGGGTTCGGGTTCGGGATCGGGATCGGGTTCCGGCTCGGGGAAGGACGGCGAAGGCGACTCCAGCTCCGGCGACGAGTCTAAAGACCCCTCCAAGAGGAAAAAGAGAGTCTGTCTCATAATTAAACCCACTACACAATGAAAGCACACCCTGAACAAGCATAGATTGCACATAAACAACGAACTATCTATTCACAACATGCATGCAGTAGCCGGTATTTGCTGCACGTCTTCGTCTTTATTTGTGTGCATGGCTTTGTGTTTATTTAGAAATTTGTTTTTTCTCGCTCTCTTTACTTCATTCAGTGTACTTAAAGTTTGACTTCTTATTGAGTACTTATTATCGAGTAAAATAATTATTTATTATTTTATTTAATAATAATAGAATAAATTACTTTATTATTTATTTCCTTGCGAAGTTTCGCTGCATTTGATTTATTATTAGGACGGCCCTCCTCAGAATCGGCCGCCTGTCTCGAGGCCTCCCCCGCGTCAGCCACCAAGAGATAAGGGTATAGGACCTGCATTACCACTTCTTTGGAATGCAGCTGCGAATACATCGGTATGTTGTTTATTAGATATGTGCAGATATTTGTTTGTTAAGAATATATTCAGTCATATGTACAGATATTGGTTTGTTAATATTCAGTTGTTGCTGCTTGATTTCTTCTTCCTTCTCATCTCTTATCTTGCGAATTCTGCTTCTTATTCTTATGCTTGCTTACTGTCTACCGCATTTCTTCTCCTATTGCTGCTTTGCTCTGTTTCTTTGTTGTTTAATTCAGGCCGCTTCAGACGAAACAACGGATATGGAGGATTATAACGCAGCGCTTTCCCGGATATTTGAGAAGCGAATGGCATTTCAGTGAGCCTTATATCTTTTTGTGTTGTGTATTGATGTTTGTTTTTGTTTTCTTGTATTATTATTTAGTGTTTCCTGCTTTGCTTTTGCTTCTCCCTTCAACAGGCCACGCTACAGAGGCGCACTGGAGGATATTAACGAGGCATTGGCTCAAGATGTCCTTCAGACGAACACAAAGATGTCAGCAAGTGAGCGTCAAAAAATTCTCTATAGTATAGGTGGGAGAGGCACTTACCTTGAAGTACCCCAGTTGCTAAAAGAGCTTCGAGAGGAAGCAGATCATCCGGTAGAGGAGAGGCTTCGTATTCAAGGGCTACATCGTCAAAGGCGACGAGGCATTCCTATTAATGTTGACGATCTAAAGAAGAGGCCGTTTGTTCGTAGAACATTTACTGGGCCAGTTACCACAGTTGACTACGAACCGGAACTCACCGATGCAGAAATTCATCAGAGGCAGAGCGGTGTTAATGGATGGCTTC